CTTATTGAAAAGATTGCATGGCGACTTGCTCTCCAATCCGTGCTAGAAGAAGAAGAGAGAGAAAGGATGAGGAAAGAAGTTGTGGAGGATGACGGAAGTGAATTAGAGGAAGTCTTTGATCTTTTCCCGGGTCATTCATGGGTTGGAGTTAGCCATGGCAGGCTTCACGGGTCATTCTGCAGAGCCATGCTACACTCCACTGGCAGATCCGAACAAACAATTGAGGCTTATTGTGGAGCAGTTTGCTCAAGACACGGAGAGATCATGCTCCAAGATGGATCTTCGAATCCAAGCCATTTCCCCTTCTGATCCCTCATTTCTCCATGAAATGGGGGAGGCTGTTCAATGATCAGCGAAACAAACAGAGTGGGTGGAGCAAGTTTGCGCAGTCTGCTCAAGATTGCCTTTCTGCTTCCATACAAGAAGTGGAGGAGGATGAAGAAGTCTACAAGGACATTGTGGAGCAGACAGAAGTTGTCACAGAGAGCTCCGGTGATGATCATGATCAGGAATATCCTGTTGTTGCCGACCACACCTTTTCCCATTCCTCACCGAGTGCTGAAGAGGCAGGCATGAGTGAGGAGATGAAAGCTGATCTTATTGAAAAGATTGCATGGCGACTTGCTCTCCAATCCGTGCTAGAAGAAGATGAGCGAGAAAGGATGAGGAAAGAATTTGTGGAGGATGACGGAAGTGAATTAGAGGAAGTCCTTGATCTTTTCCCGGGGAAGGAATCAAATTCTGAGGAAGGAAGGGGGGTTGAAGAAGCAATTGGCGTCCAGGCTGAGGATGAAGTTGAGGTGGGAAAGGCATGCACCGACCATGAGTTACATGTGATATCTTCACCAAACTTCGAGGAGCTGCTTGGCAAGGACCCATTTGCAGTGTCTCTTTGCCAGACCAAGGTCACATCAACATCGGTCCCTCTTGGTCAACGCGATGGTGGTCGGCCGATGCTGTCATATCTGGTTTGGGGCAATGAGATGAGTGAGGAAGAAAAGAAGAGGTCTCACGGGTGGAGACTTCATATTCTTCAAGTACACGAGCCTACATCACCTGTCATGCCACCTGCTTGTGACTTGAGACTCCACATCATCGACGAGAACCTCAAGTTCAAGGAGGTTCTAGCATGGACCGAAACTTAGGAGCCAACGTCCGGCTCACGACGGTAAAGAAGCGCTTGTGGGGAGGCAACCCCACCAAGATTTGTTTTCCTTTCGTTTGTTTTTGGTTTTTCCACTTGGAACTGTGGTTTCTATCACCCATTGTGTTTTGATGACTCTAGCTCTGTGGACTGGTCCCCCTTCTAGTCCGCCCTAGCTTACTAGTCCCATTTGCCTCCCCCCGACAGTCTGTTTTCCCGGTAACATCGTTCCCCTCATCTTTCCCTCTGCTCCATTGAGGGTAATGTCGTGCTTAATTGTGGGGGGTGTTTATCTATCTTTGACTGCTAGATGAGTTTGTGTGCTTGGAGCCTAGTCCACTGTCCAAATTTCGATTTGAGGGCTCCAAGTACTGTTCCCTGCAATATCCTGCCTAGTATGCTTTGAATTGACAGTCTTTATGGTGATATGCAACCTAGGGAGGTAGTGTAGCACTATGGAGAATGTTGATGCATTTAAGAAGTCTCCTTCCTTCTTCATATTGTGTTGGTTGATTGTGTGAATTAGTGATCTTAAGACCCTTGAATTGTGTGGTGTCGTGGACTCTCTACCTGTCATGGACTCCTGTACCATGTTTTGAAAGAAGGTGCTCAAAAATGTGATTTAAAATAATGTCTCCCGTGCGAAAAGGGCGAAAGTGTGTAAGGGGAGACGGGAATCCGTTCCCAATTTCCACCTACTACCTCCAGCCCCCTTACATTTCTTTCCCCCGCACGAGGCTCGAGACATCCACTCCTGGCATGGCCGGTAAGAGCCGGGCTCCCGCAAAACCTTTGCTAGGTGGGAGCCCCAGTTTTCTGAAAAACAGGTTGGAACACTTGAAAAGAAAGAGAAAATGAAAAAAAAAAAACAAGGTAAAAAAAAGAAAAAAGGGTTCCAATCATCTTCTAGAAGAAAATAGAGCACCTTAAAAATGTGAGTCCATTATCTCTTTGTTTTTGAGAGTCCCTTCGTCCACGATTCATTTTTCTTCTGATCACTATTTTCCATGATACCGACTCGAGAATAGAGTTCTCGCCGAAGAAGTTAAGAGGTGTCTTGTACGTCGGTTGACCTCGCAAGCTCCTAAATGACTTAGAACGTCCTCTACCGAAGATTGTGATTTCATGTTTCTATAAAGGTCTGGAGAGCTGCATTGGTTTGAGTCAGGTTTGCTTGGGGACAAGCAAACGGTTAAGTGTGGGGGAATTTGATAACGTCGTATTTGCACATGTTTGCACCCTCGTTTCTTTATCATTTTGGCTTGATTTTTTGCTTTCTTGGACTATTTTACGCTAGGTTGTGTTCCTTAGTCACATTTCAGGTCCTAGCATGTAAATTGAAGCATAGGCGCAGGTTTCAAGTCAATCGGAGATCATTTGACAATTCGGGAGAAGAAACACGAGCATTACCTGAGGAAGAATGGACTTCTACCTCATATTATGGAAAAATAATCATGGAAGCTTGTCGTGAAAAGAAAGAGGAAAAGACTACGAGCGTCTAGGATCAAACGGCGACTGATTCGGAGTCCGAACGAGGGAGAAATGAAGCATTAAACAGGAGCGGAGGAAGAAATACGGGCAGGAGAAATACGACCGTATTTCCCCTCCCATGCCTGTATTTTCACTGCCGAGAGGAGCCTTGGATGTGCTGAAACTTAACCAAAACGCGCGTTTTGGGCAAAATACGGGGAGGGAAGAATCCGTAATTCAGCCCGTATTTCGCCCAGAATCGGGTATTTGAGGCAAATTCGAGCCAAAGGTGAGGGAATCAAGTTTTTGAGCAAAAAATGGAGCTTTAGAGAGAGAAAGTGCAAAGAAAAAACCCTATGAGCTATTTGGAGTGGATTTCTCACCATTGAAGCCCAGATTGCATCCCCAGGAGTGAAGATCGACATCCCAGAGCAGATTATCCTCATCTTTATGAGTATGACTACTCTGAATTCTGTTTTCCTCTCTCTCTCTCTCTCTATGGAGTAGAACCTACTCTCATTTGGGTATGAAGAACCCTAATTTCATGTGTTAGGAATCTTGATTATAATGACTTGGGATTGATATACTGATTGATTTTAATCGATTGATGCATGATTCATTGAGTCAATTGAAGCCTGATCATCTTTTCTTGATTTCTGCTGCATCCTGAGATAGATAGAATATGATTAGGTTGTTAGAGCTTCATCAATCGGTAGTGGTAGATTGGTTATACGAGAGTTAATCAATTTACTGTTTTGTACTGGATTCTAATTCCAGTAGTGAAGTACTGTGTTTATTGCCTCAGCAGTCTATCCAGGTGAAGGCTAGTCGACTGCCGGTTAGTCTGCCTGAGAGGGCTTGGTCAGCTTAAGAGATTCCAAGCTACTGTCGGATCTTCCGCATTTTAATCAACAGTTAATCAACCTAGGGTAATTACAACCTTGACCTAACTAAGGAGCTAGGGGGACTCAATCCCGAGTGACTCTTCCCTTGCTAAAGAACTTTGAAGCATTTCCTGCTTTTAGTTAAAATCACAATCATTCAACTTAGTTTTCTAGATAATAGATAATAACGGAGTAGGCAGTAGATCTAGACCCCGGGTTGAAAAATAGAGCTTGCCACTTTACTGCATTTCCGGACTGCGACAAAAAGTGAAGATTGCAATGTTCTAAGAGCTTTCAAACATCTTGCGAGCAGTGTAAGCTTCATAGGGTGAGGGCGTGAAGTCGACAACAAAATCTTGAAGTGTGTACGTGAAATGGTATGTTTTGAATTGAGATCAAGTGCACACATCAAGGGCTTGAAGATCAACCATGAAACTTGCACTGTCGGGGATAAAAAGGAGAAGGAGATTACACTTTGAAGAAGAAGAGTTTTAATGTGAGATTGGGTTTCTTCTTCTACAATCTAGAGAGAAATCTATGAACCAAAGTGAATTGAAGGTGTATTTTTCCTACCTAAGATCAAAGGAGGCCATATTTCATCTCCAAACACCAATCCGAGCAATTAGGAAGAAGGAGAAACAACTTTCCATGAGTTTTCCTCTTTTCTATTTGTTGTTCTTTCTCTAGTTATAGTGTAGTATATCTTTTCATTTGGATGATGTGAACCCTAGAGTAGGATGTTGTAGATTGATAATTGTGAACTCTATGTAGTGATTGGAAATGTTTAATTATATATTGAGTATTTATCATGAAAATTGAATGTGCTTGATCAATTCCCTCAATTTTGTGGCGAATTGACTTAAGAGAGAGCATATCTCCGTATGGCAATTTGGGTCACTATTCAATCATCGTAGAGAGTCATGAAAGAGGGTGATTGGTTTCGTTATGCCATTTCGGGTCATCGCTTGAGGGAGTGCATTTGCTGACCCTAATCGCCTAATTCGGTAGTGTGGTACGCCCCTCCAATTAGAGCCATTAAGCTTGTTAGGATGCACTCGAGTAGTAGGTCTTAGCTAACTTTGATTTTCTAACAGTATATAGAACATGCAATTCAAGCTCGAGTTTTATATGATCGTCTCAACACAGGACTAGGGGGATAATCATTAGAGTGAAGCCTTCTTATTTGAATTCAAACTTGTTTTAGTTTTTTATTTGTCTAGTTTAATAGCTTAAACATCGCTTCTACCGTTAGATAATTTATAGTTTGCTGAAGTAAGAATAGATAAATCTCGTGAGTTTGATAGTTGAAATATACTTGTTATATACTATACCTTATCGTAGCTTAGACTTGGCCTTCGATTGAGAAGCGTTTAGTTAGGTATGATTCATAGGTTGTGGGCAATCGAATCACGAGTCAACCGACCTACGAATTTTAATCAACTCGAGTTATTGGAATGTAACAAATTAGGTTGATTTGACAGATTACTGTGACCGGTTCTAGTTTTGACAGCTCTAATGTATTAACAGAGGGAAACAATCTTAATACGTTCAACTTCCATACCATATTCACAGTGCTACAACTCAAACTTATTTCTTCATATGCACACACATCCCACAACTAAAGACATTCTAACTTACAGCTCCCCACAAGCTCATTTTCTTCATTACTTTCTTTCAATAATTTCAGCATACTTTCAACTAGGGCAATGAAAATCAATTTGGAGGGAGTATCAGCTCAACATGCTAGTTGGTCTCTGAATGAGGAGATCTCTTCAAAGATGGGAAGCCTTTTGGACTTGGAGCCAACCCACGTGCTCATAAACTGCTCAAGCCCCTTCATGAAATCTTCATCGTCCAGATTCAGACCTACAAGGTCCATCATTTGCGGAGGAGACTGCCGCGACTTTATCTCTGAAATCAATTCGATGGCCCGTTTCTGAGTCCTGCTGTCATCGGAGCCCGGAAGTCTACCTTGATACACATCTTGGAGAACTGAATGGGCCTCATCGTAGCGGGCTTGCTTCATAAGGCATAGGCCCACGTTGCAAGCTTTATTGGCATCCGGGTCCATCATTTGAGCTTTCTTGTACACAACCTCCGCTGCTATGAAATTGGATTTCTGCATATAGGCCCAGCCTAAATTACCCTGCATTAGAGATGAGATAAGAGTTAGGGCGCACATGTGGACGGTAAATCCGCGGTTTGATATCGATTCATCTACAAATAACCTAAATTGTTTTAGGCAGGTGATTGATGTGTATGAATCGTAACCCAATTTTTTTTCCACCCCAATTATACAAGTGGGTGGACTGGTTGGTGGGTTGCGGAGTCACCAAAGATGATCGGCATCCCACTTTCACATGAAAAAGTGTTTTTTTTTTGTTTATAATATCAAATAGGGATGGGATTAGGTGCTAACCCTTATAGGGGTTAGCACCGTGATAACTAGCAAAAATCACTACGGATTATTATAAAATCAATACAACATCTAAGCTAAATCACTACTAATTCAAACTAGTAGTAGTTTTTCCCTTGGTTAGGACGGTGCTAACTATTGTACAATTAGCACCGTAGTCGTTCCCTATCAAATATTTTAATATATCCTAACCGCATCACATACGGGTCATTGTCTTCTAAGGAAAAAATACAGAATATATTTAAATTTTAAACTACAAATATTGGTTACTATGTTGTGTAATATCCATTAGATAATTAGATGAAATTTATATAGTGCTAATTGTATCAAAGTCATAAAGAGTGTCAATTTGCTCTACACAATTGGTTGATAGGATTGATGTATTTGCTAAAGAAATGAAATCAACACACATAAAGAATCTTCATCTCTATGAATATATGCTTAGTAATATATTTTGTTTTCTTTGTCAACAAGTACTTAATTTAAAGTGGCCAAGTAAAAAGTTGGTATGAGTAATTAAAAAAATTTCATATCACAAGTATTAGACAGATTAAAAAAAACAAAGGGCTAATACCACTACAACACCCAAACTATCCCGAAAATGCCACTTGTGTCCTATTGTATCAAATATTCCATTCATGTCATGAACTATTATATTTTGTGCCATTTGTATCCTGCCAATTTCGTTCACCGTTAAAGATAACAGTTGACCAAACGGCGGTCAACTTAACATTGACTTTTGTTGACGTGGCAATGCCAAGTCATTGACACCTCACATTTTTAATTTAAATTAAATTAAATAAAGCTTTGAAAATAAAAAAAAATTGAAAAAACCCCTCATAAATCCCCTCGTCGTATCCTCTCCTCAAATTCCTCTTCTTCACCTGCCAGAGCCTCCATTGCCGGCTGCCCCGCCGGAAAACCATGGATTGGAAGCCCCAACCTGAAGCTTCCACCAACAATCTGCTCTGAACCCAACCCCAAAGCCATCCCCTGCAGTGAAAGAAGCTGGGCTTCTTTAAGACCTAATCCATTAAGCTTATCGTTCCTTCTCTTAGTCACGACAGTGGCGGCGGCACCAAAGGGAAGAAAGCGACATTTGGGGGTTGCTTTTTCTGTTGAATCGATTAGATGGATTGATTGAGGAGGTTGGTGGAGTTGGAATTTTTCCCTTGCAAATCGCTCCAATTGAAGGTAGGCATGGAAGGGAGGAGGTGGTCGGGGGGATAGAGCCGGGTTTTCGCCATGGGAGGGTGCTGAAACTTCATCTGGTGCAGAATGATAAGAAGATTTGGGGTGTCGAATCGAGGTTGCTGTGTCGAATCGGAGTGGTGGCGGAGTGGGAGGAGTGTTGTCGTGGCGGATTTGGTTTAGGATTAGTGCGTTCAGAACTGGAGGTTCAGAGTAAAGAAGATCTACCGTCCAAGATCGAGAATCTGGTCTCCTCAATCCCTTCAATTGAGTTCTCCCACAAATCCACCGACCCAGGTTTCTTCGCCGCTGCAAGTTAAGCCTCTCTAACTTTCATCTCGGATTTGGGTTTGCATACCCAAATCTGAAATCTCGGATCCCTAACTTTATCCCTGAATCCCAATCTCGATTCTTCTCCCAGACCCCAGCCCGACTCCGACTTCGTTCATCTCGATCGATTTCCAACAATCAGGAAAGGGGCACAAGGCTTTGTCATAGTAGAGGAAGACCCTGCGGTGGAGGAAGGAGAATAACATCGATTCCATCCTCGAAGAAGGCGACGAAGCTGTTCGTTGAATAAGGGGAATCGTTGAAGGGAGGAGAGGAGAGAGGGACGAGAGGAGAGATGAAGCGTATAAGTTTTGTTTATTATTTTTATTTTTGTAATTTTACTTTTTTAATTTTTTTAAATTTGGTTAAAAAATAATAATTGAATTTAAAATTCCATGTCAGATGCCACGTCAGCGTTGACTAAACTTTCTGTTAAATACTAACGGTCAAAGCTAGTCAACACTAACGGAATAATAGTTCAGGACACAGATGGAATATTGAAAACATTAGGATACAAGTGACATTTTTCGGGATAGTTCGGGTGTTGTAGTGGTATTAGCCCAAAAACAAAATGGTAAGTGTTTAACTCTGTCTTCCTAATTTGAGAAATTTATTTGCGGCTAGTCGGAGATTTGATTTGTAGGTTAACTAATAACCCAACCGCATCCACCCACTACCCATCCAACCCAATCTGAAAGAGAACATGGGTAGATAGCGAATCACAATTGTATCAACTCGTTAATAATCGAGTGAATAAATTTAACACCGAAATCCACCCAACCCAGCCATTGCCCACGTAATAAACCGAGGCAAACACGCATATGTAGTCAGTGAGTCCAGTCAGTCAAAGGCCGGGAGAAGTAACAATGATTCAATGAATAACAACTAATTAACAAGTTGGAATTATATATATAGGTAGGTAGGTAGGTACCAGCAATCTGGAAGTCTCTTGCTGAACAGAAACCTGGAATTTCTTGCCGTGAGAGCGTGCCGTTTTGGTGGGTCTCCCATTGAAAGCCTCCCCCATGTATATTAATCTCAGCTTCCTCTTGAGCAGCTCTATTTGCTCCTCCACCTTCCCACATTTCTGCACGCAGGACCATAGTATGCATATTTAACAATGGATGAGATATCCATCGAATCGATGGAGAATTAATTAATTACCTTGTACAAGTCGATGAGGACATTGTCGAGGGAGTCCTGAGCCTGTTTGGAGCAGCGGCACCGGAAGGACTTGATGGCTTCGATGGCTTCCTCCGACCTGTCGAGTTGCCTCATCACCACCGCCATGTCTTTGAGTGCACTGTCTACTCTATCTCCTGCGTTTATTGCCTTCCAAAACCACACTATCGCTGCCTCTGCGTCCTTCTCCACCACCTACATCCATCCTTCCATCAAATATCAACTCACATACACATTTATTTATATTTATTTCTTGAAAAAAGCAAGCAAGCCAAAATAGCTAGCTAAATATAAATATTATTCTTTTTCCAACAAGCTAAGAAATTCATGCAATTTATTGTACATTCACGTACTACTGTACTGTGAATGAATACAAGTTAAAATTCCTTGGAAACAAAATCATGTAAAGGACACTGAAAACGAAGCTCGCTAAGTATATAGTTAATCCACCCCTAGCTAGTTATATATATATATATATATATATATGCACTTTTTTGGAGCTAGCTTATGCAAATTTCCATTCTAATTATGATTTGAATTACTAGAATTAATCCTTCTGAATTGGGGAGTATGTATTAATTAATTAATTAATTAATTGTTAGGTTGAGAAGAAACTAATTTAAGTAAGTACCTGAGCATGCTTGGCTTTGACATAGGGGCCATCACCACAAGGAAGCTTATGGATGACATGGAACAGGTTTTCCTTACTGCTTTGACTGTTTTCCTCTGGCCTTGCCAACAGATTCCCCCTTCCTCTGCTCCCTACCATTCTATTCTATTGTATGTGTTTATGAAGGAAGCCCTTAATTCGATCTTTCCACCACAACCCCGATCGAGGGAGGGGAGAAGGAGAGAAGAGGGAGAGATCAGAGAGACAGAAGGGTGGTTTAGTAGGTCCAATATATAAATGATTTCAGATTCTATATATTATTAAACCAAATGAATGTAATGACAATTCTTTTTTTTTTTATATTTCATTTTTGGTAAAATTATGAAAGAAATGAACCTGGTCGACTTTGAGTCTCCGTTCCTTTCATCCTGGTGGCCCTTTCTTTCTTTCTTATCTAACTCTGTTTAAAAAAAAAAATATCTTTGCAACAGCAATATGCTCAATATTAAAAACAGTCAATGAACTATCCTCTCCCTCCTATACGTAAAAGTGACTTATGCTTTAACAAAAGAAAACAACAAGATTTTTTTTTTTTTTTTTTTTTGCCTCTAGCAGGCTCGAGTTCGGATCAATTGAGATGCGAAAAATGAAGATAAATTAGACATTGCCGTTATTGTTCATCGATATGAAAACTAAATTTCAAGATTCACGTGTGGGGAACTCTTTCAACAGCTCTCGACCAATAGGAATACAACTTTCCTAGCAGTCTCGGGAGAGGTAATTTTCATTGTTGTTCTTCTTTCACCTTTATTGTGAAATATTTACCGGCCATCACTGTTTTGGCTTGCAGTTCGAGACTACGTATACTTAATGAGAAGGAGGAAGAGAGTATCTAAAAAACGTTAAAATTATTTGCATCAATTTGTTCGTATGATATCAGAGCCTGATTAGACTTCTTACCCTTTCCTATCCTTTACTTTCCTCTTCTTTTCTTCTCTATCAATTCATTGAAATTTTACTACAATGGTCGAACAAGATCAAGAAAAAGTGCTTAACCAAACTGAAGGTTCTGGTGGATCTGGACATGGTCATCGTCTAGCCATTACGTACTGATTGCTAGACACTCTCTACCTTCATGGACCAGAACAATCATGAAAAGTTACTGTTCGCCTAAAGCTCACACCAATCAACTACACTGACTGCACTGCACCATGATTGATGCACTTGGATCCAAACCAAGCTGGGATTCATCGATGGAAGCATCCCTAAAGCAAAAGCAGGAGATGTGATGACATGGCCATGGACAACTTGCAACACTATTGTCAAGAGCTGGATTCTTCAATCCGTGGATGAAATAATTGGTAAAATCATGAGAAGTATCCAATCCGCAACAGAGGTATGGAAAACCTAGAAACGCAGGTATGCACAATATTGAGATCATACAACTCATTATTACGATATTTTCCACTTTGGGCCAAACATGCACAGATTAACTCGGGTTCCTTTCCAAGAGGCCTCATAACAACTGGGTTAAGTTGACAATAATATACAATGGTCCCTTTCTTTGTATTTCCAATGGGTACTTGGATTGTCCCATAACAATCCTCCCCTCAAGACAAGGACCATGTACTTCGTGTCCTCCCCTCAATCGATATGATCCTCGACACAAGGATTTACAAATGTATATCTCCTTTGATCCGCCAAACAATAAAGATCTCACAATGATCTGCCAAACAAACGAGAATCTCCTTTATTTGTCGGCCAACCACAAATCTCGAATCCTGAGGTCACCAAATGCAGGTCCACCAAACTAACATATCCATCGCCTAGAATCCGAACTCATATACCACTTATCGAAACCATATGGCTCATTAGTACTATATTGTCCACTTTGGGCAACCCTGCACGAATTTGCTCTCGGGTACCCTACCAAGTGACCTCGTACTAATTGTGGGCTAGGTGGACACTAATATACAAGGGTCCTTCACTTGTATCTCCAATGCGGTACTTGTATTGTCTTATAACACACAAGGTGTCCTAATTCGAATCGTTGATCTGCAATAACAACTATGTAGCTTGAAACAAGGTAGCAAAAGTTTATCAGAATATCTGACTCGCACGAAACTACACCACAAATTAATCACGACTAGAGCCCAAGTTTTTAACCTCTAGCTAGGTGCAGTATAGAGCAAGTATTTAAATTGTCAACCCGGGCCGATCCATGTACCCCTACTTCAATCGCTTAGGTTGTTATCTAGCAAACAACTTTTGGGTTTAGGGCTAACAAAACTACAAACTAAACAAGCAAAGAAAGTAAATAAAGGAAAACTCTAACTAAGGGAGCTTCACCTAGAAGTTGCTTCCCCCTAACTAGCTACCATGACTCGTTGGATTGAATGGAGTCGTGTGGCATAGGTGGTTGTGAACCGCGAGGGTGAGCAACTAGTGATCAATATGTCACTGAATCAATTCACTAGCGATCGATTTGTCATGGGATCGATCCACTCACCAAGTCTAGGGGAACCTCTAGGAGGAGCAACTAGTGATCCATTTGTCACGGGATGGATTCACTGGAGGTCGATTTGTCACGGGATCGATACTCTCACTCAGTCACTAGTGGTTGCCTAAGTCTCTCCCTCAAACCGGAGTTTGAGCGGCTTCATCACAACCAACCTAGATGCAAACTGGTAATCGTGAACCGCAGTGGGATGCATATATGGTCGGAGACCACAATCTCAATTACTAGATCGAGGTAAGCATTAAAGGCCGTGTCACTCGACCCTCTCGGTTTAGAAAATCGGTAGTTGACTTATTCCCTCACTTAACTCTAAGATCGGGCGACTGGATCACGATTAATCAATTTGCTTAACTCAATATTGAGGGTTGCCATAACTTAACCTAGTTTAGGTGGCTTAGAAAGCAGAAGGAAAACCAACTCGATTGAGTCTTCCTCGAAAGGGGTCGAGATTTTCCTCTCTAAGCTAGGCTAAGGTGGCTAATTAGATTGCTAGCACCAATAGGGGTGGCAGTTCGGTTACCGGTAATCGGTTAAACCGATAACCGTTTCGTTATCCACTAACCGGTAACCAAAGTAACCGAACTTCGGTCGGATATCGGAGGCTAGACGAAATGGTTTTTTGTCTTAAAAGTGGTTCGATTAACCGATAACCGAGAAACCGAAGCCTATTTCGGGCGGTTTTCGGTAGGGGGGTGGTTATTTCGATTAACCGATAACCGGCCAATCGGTTACCAGTTATAACCGAAATAACTGAACTGCCACCCCTAAGCACCAACATGCACAAACCTAAGCGTGCTGAGCACAATTATGCACAATCCTTAGGTTCCTAAGCACCAAAATGCACAAACCTAAGGATGCTAAGCACAAAACATGCACCACTTCACCTCTTAGCAAAAACATACACAAATCACTCATGTGGAACCTCGTTTAAGCCCAAATGGTATGAATGGAGCTTCTAAACACAAGGGTGACTCGATAACGGTGTAGACACGAAGAAAGTAGGGTCGGTCTATCTAAATCAATCAAGCTCAAGTAGCGAGAGCTACCTAAAATGAGAGCGAACCTTAGACACACGGCTCAAAAGGGTTGAGTAGGGGATAATGAGATCGGGACGGTCAACATTCGGGTCGTGGACTAAACCTATGCCTTCATCTTCCTCGCTAGCAACAACGTGAATGCTACACATCATGTAAAGGGGGAACTACCGCACAAGAACGAAACGAACGCCACAAGTCTCACATGGCTACCTAGGTGCTCAATCATTCGTTCTAACTCCCTAAACTCGATGCATAGGTAACTATGAAAAGCAAGTAACTGATTTAAAACATCTATCGGTTCACAAACAGATGAGAAATGAACCTATGCACTAACCTAATACATGTCTCAGTCATCCTCATAGGTTGCACACAATCACAAGCAAATCATCAATAGACCATGCTAATAACCACGAGATTCAAAATAAATCACCACAAGATTCCACTATGATCATGCAAATGTAGAAGTTGTTATGCTTGGAGCCCTCAAATTTTAAAAGTTTGGGCATACATCTAAGCTCCAAAGCATTCAAAATCACACCAATCATACAAACCAACATGCATAATAGACTACCCCCCCCCCCACACACACACACACACTTAAGCTCAACATTGTCCTCAATGGCATAAAAGAAGGGGATAGAACGATGTTACCAGTCAAGTTGTGAATGTTTGTTCTCGAGGGTGAAGGGCGGGTGAGCTCCAGAAGAGCGTGGAGACGGCAAAACACTACCAAAATCTTTCCAATGGTCGTATTGAAAGGAAAAGAGATGCAATCCTTTGATGGTTGGGTTGCCTCCCACCAAGCACTTCTTTAACGTCGTGAGATGGACGGTTGCTCTTCAAGTTTCGGTCCACCTAAGAACCTCCTTGAAGTTGAGGTTATCGTCGGTGAGGTGATGTCTCAAGTCACGAGCATTGGACGAATTCATGATTGAGGGCTCGTGAACTTGATCGACTTTGAGGCTCCACCCATGAGACCTCTCCTTTCTCTTTTCCCCACACCATGTAGTGCATATACGATTTACCACCATCGCATCCACCAAGAGGGATCACCGATGGTTTGGCCTTGGCTTGGCAAAGAGCCGCAAATGGGTCTTTCTCTAAAAGTGTGTCGAGGTCGGGTGGAAAGCTTTCATAGCCCTTGTAACTTGTGGATGCTTCATCCACCCCGACCTGGTCCTCATCTTGGATACCACTTGCTCCTTCTACTTCATCTTCAACCTACCTTCCTTCTTCTTCAATTTCCTCCCCTTGGGAACACTCAAGATCTTCCTCCTCTTTAATGCTCGCTTCCTCCTCTTCAACCTCTTCCGTCTCCATCCCATTCATGTCTCCAAGCACGAATTTGAGGGCAAAATGCAATACAAGGTCATAGAAGGGATTCTCTTACTCCTCCACACTCGTGTCTTGGGCTTCAATGTTGCTTTCGGAAAGGGAAAGATGATGGTAGTTGTCAATGCAACCTTCTTGTTCATCCTCACCACGGGAGCTCTCCGGGGTGAGTTCCTCTTGCTCCATACGGTTGTCATTAATCACTCCTTCAACCTCTTCTTTCTCCCCCAATAATGAGAGGCAATAGCTTTCACAAGCTCGTGCCACTTTCTCCTCTAGTGTCAAACCGGGAGGAGGGAGGGGCTGGAAATCCATGACGGAGCTCTTTCTTGCAAAGGTCTCATGGCTCGCCTTTTCGACTTCCTCTCTTTCTTACAATG